GTATTTTTTACTCAAAAATCAAGCCATATGTAATAGCACTGATCAGGTATATATCTATTAATGTGCTTTTTAAGTGCAAAAAATAATAATTTTGCTGTACTGCGATACCTGAATGGCTCTGACTTTGCTAAAAACCAAAACAAGGTCTGATTTTGATAGCTTTCTCTGAACTGGGGAGTGGCGTTCTGACATCTGTGTTCCGAGGTATCTGGAAAGCAGCATACACTTTTAAGATTAGGCTTAATTTTTTTTGATAAAGCATATAGTTAAGGTTGTGTCAGGTGACCCTGAATCCACCCTTAGTTACACTGTAATAGGCCTAGGCTGCTTGGGGCTTACCATGATGCAGGAGTATTTCTTCTTCACTCACCTTTTTCACTCACTATGTTTTTATAAACCACTCTGCATTTTATCATTAGTTATTAATAATCTCTGACTCTCTTCCATAGTGTATCTGGGCAGATGGACGCCCCTCCCTGAGCCTATTTCTGCCAGAGGTTTCTTCATGTAAAAGGGAGATTTTCCTTCCCACTGTTGCCAAGTGCTTACTCATAATATCTGATTTTATTGCTGGGTTTTCTCTGTAGTATTGTAAGGTCTTTACTTACAATATGAAGTTCATCTAAGCAACTGTTGCTATGATATTTAAAAAACTGAATCTCGAATCAGACAGCAAGCCCCTCCAGGATCAGGGCGGGGCTGCTAGTTTTGGGATAAGGGCAAAGAGAAAAGAGAGCACGGGGAGACAGGAAAGAGAGACTTGGGAAGTCCCCCATCAGCCTGAGCCTATGGCAACATAGCTAAGGGATGGTTCTTACGTTTTATTTATTTACATGGGTGGTAGGTTGGCTGTTAAACGTTTGAAAGCAGTTGTTTACTCATAGATATATACAACTTTGGCCACAGCCATTAACTATATATTGCTCTAGCAAAGCTGTGCCTTAGGCAGTTATTTCTCTTAGTTGTAACAACTACTGGTAGAAATCTGACTGCTCATACATTAAGTTAGAACATATAAATTAAGCATATGTTTTCTTTTCCTCCCACATTATCTCTAAAATAGTCTCAGATGTGTACAGAAGTGTAGGTGTTGCTACCTCGTTGACTCTAATCTAAATGTGATATGACAGCCTCCTTTATGACTAACCCTGCCTCACACGTTCTCTAAAAGGATTATGCTGCAAAACGGATTATTAATACCAATGACCCATTCATGGATTTGGCTTTTTTGAATGCCGGATATGGATGGAAACATGACTAATCTGTGCATAAGCTCTCAGGAACCTGCTTCCCTCTCCTTCTTCATAGTCAGCAGCAGAAAGGAGCATTTCCTCTGCTTTCCCGAGTGACGGCTGTGATTTATAGCATCTGGTCGCTAGGATGCTGACGTGGACAGCAGAAGTTAGTCTCCTCCTTCCATCCTTCCTTCCTTCCGTTCTTCTTCAAGGAGACGATCAAGCCACAACAACACTCCCAATCCAGTTTCCCAGAGTCATCCTAGCCGTTGCCCTCCACACGCATCCCTCCCACCTGCAGTTACAAGCGTTCAAGCCCCCGGGACATAAATGAGACACAGTTGGCAGAGCTGTGAGAACTTGAGCCTCGTCTGGATGTCGGAGATGAGAGGAGCTTTGTCCTCTGGGGTTGTTTTTCTACTCCCGGTGAAATAACTGAGCTCTGTATTAATGTAGATATTAAACAAGATAAACTGTAATGAATAGACACAGACCAAATTAAAAAAATTGAGTGGGTAGTTGCACTGCTACTCCTGTAAACCCTCATTGTTATGGAGCATATACTCTGTTCAGTGATAACAGATTTACCCCCAAAATATTATTAATCAATAACGTGTTAGCATGGTTAGCTCGTTAACGTGTTAGCGCTGTGCAGACCCACGCACAGGGCGATCCGCGCTAACTGAGATTTGCCGCGTTAATGCGGTTATGGCCTTAATGTCATTTTAACGATATTAACACTGACAGCACTGGTAATTATATAAAACTAAATTCAGATACTGTAGGATCTAGTTCCACTGTAGCAATCATAGCAAGCTAGGAAGCCAAACAGGCTAATGTTTATAGCTTATGTTAGCTGTGTGACAAAGGTTTACCACTCCACACAGCAGCAGCTGTTTATGGTCTTGATTAGATTAAAGGGTTATTGCAAAAACCTTGATTTTTTTGTAGCTTATTGATTTTGTAGTTATAGTAAATGTGTTTTTTGACTTGTTGCTCAGAGAAAACAAACACAATTTTTTATTACTTTTGGACTAATAAAAGTCTTTTTCACCACTGCATATCATTAACGCTTGTCTTCTCTCTCTTGCAGTTTGTGTTTTGTTCTGATTGTTGTTTGTGATCTCTCTAAGTTTTTTTTTCTATCAGTAAAGACAGATGGCTGCCCCTACCTGAGCCTGTCTCGACTGGAGGTCTCTCATTTAAGAGGTCTCTCCTGTTAAAGGGGAGTTCTTCCTCCATAGTTCCTAGGTCCTGCTCATTTTCTGATTGTGTAGTAAAGGAATGTCTTTACTCACAATTTAAACCTCTTTCAGACAAGAATGGTTACTTTATAAATAAAACTAAATTTAAATTTCATTCAATTACACTTTATTTTCAACCTGGAAATTGAACACAAGGGTTATTTCTTTGCTAAATTATGGAGGATAGAGGCAAATCTAAAGCCGGCAGTGAAAGGTTTCTAGGCTGAAATCTACATTTCCAGGCTGCCTGCGATCTTGAAAGCGTTCCAAGAACATAACGTCAGCATGACTGGGAAAGCTCACAGTGCCACAGGGAGTCCACGTCTCATGATTACTTCCACAGAGGAGCATTTAACTCCAAACAGAGACGCTCACTACTGTTAAACAGGAGGTGAAAAAGTCAACGTGATGGCACTGCAGATATCAGGAAAGAAGAGGTTTAAAACTAGGTAGGAAGGAGTTGTAGCATGTACAGTGTGAACTCCTTTAGAAAGACATTGCACAAAAAGTGAATTGACTCGTTGCAGGAAACTGGTGCCACTCCTATTGTGAGCCACAAACAGAGAGTCTTTGAACATGTCATGTCTTGGAGAGGCTTAGCTTGATTCCAGCACTCCCTGGGTAAGCGAATGAGTCTGGTAGCTGTGATTCATTTTCCCCAAACTAGCATTTTCTCTGAAACACCAGCAGGCACAGAAACAAGGCTCTGATATATGGCGTAATGTCCCTGGCTGACTGGTTTTACTGTAGATGGGGAATGACGAGCAGATGAGGTCAGGAGGGGTAAGGAGGGCTGTGCAGGGTGGTGTGTTTTAGGGATTTGGATGGTCAACATGCATTAGGGGCTAAACCAAAGGTCTGCCAACCTCAGACCTGAATAAACCACTTTGATAAGGGATTACAATCCCCTCTCCCAGCCCTGCAGGCGCACCAGGCCGCCATAAACAAACAATCCCCGGCAGGCCTTTCTTTTGGCTCTTTCTTTGCGCAAGAATGAGACTCCCATCTCTCAGATAGAAGTCAGAGAGAAAGAATGTTTCTGTTTATCTAACGCCCCTGCCTTTTTCGGTGTCTAACATTCCTGATAAACGTCACATGCCGGTCAACCCTGCTGCGTGCGGCGGTCTCTGCAAAGGGCCTGGAACCAAAACACTCTTTGTTTTCCATCTAGTGTTGCCATCTTAGATAACACACTGATGGGTGAATTTGCTCCAGAACAATAGTTCAAAAAAACGCATGTATGATGTCCAAAAGAAAAGGCACCAAACAGCTACTTAAAAGTTGTCAACCATGGCAAACACACACACACACGCACACACACAGTGGCCCCAGGATTTCAGGAGTGTAACTATAACAAATCAACAACCACTTTCATGTCTGCTCAATAAGTCGCTCATATTCCTCTTCAAACAGACACCCACACATCCAGGGAGCGAGCACCATGCCTTTTGCAGTGATAAAGAGCTGCTGCGGCAGACGTTCCTTCGCTCCATCCATCTAGAGCTCTCCACGTTGAGTGGAAAATGGGGGTGGGCTGCCAATGAACAGAAAGTCCCCTACTGCCAGTGAGCACTGGTCAATGGCAAATATGTATGATAGTGGTGTGCAGCATGATGCTCATCCTAAGTGCTTTTATATCTTAAAAGCACATAGGCTGGATGAATTATTCATGTGTTTATAGTGTGTGGGGTTGTTGCATATATAAATCAAAACTGCACTAAAAATTAGTAAAAAACAAAACAAAAACTTGAATCTCTCTTCTCAGTCTACTGAAACAATGTGTAGAACACATTTAATACAGCACAAAAGAGTCATGGTGAGATAAGCCTAATTAAAATACCTTTTTTTCTGGATTTTTAAGCAAAAAAAGCAACCTAACCGATTATGTTTATTGATAACTGGCATCAATATGAATGTACAGTAAACGACACAGCTGGGGTCACTAATTCCAACTGCTTGTTATAAACATATACCAGTAAAAAGCTCAGATGTGTGAGAAATTCTGCAGCATCCAGTATCCGGGGTGCTCTTGAGCATGACACTGAGTTCCCGTTCGATTATTTATTTATTTTCTGTTTGAGCTGCATGCATTCACCTGCACCGTCTCTCTCCTGTGAGACTGTACACTATACATTTTTGTTATATATCTGCGTGGGGCATTTTTCACCCAGTACACCGCCACTGACTTGTTTGGTAATGAAGACCACAGCTCAGTGCAGCATTTCCCGGATCTTTGCTGGTCAGGACCCGCCTGTTGGCGTGGCCGGACAAACACATCTCCTCTTTTAAGATGTCAGAGGGAGACATCTGATAGGCTGCACTGCTTCAGCTGTTGAGTTTACATTTTATCCAACCATGTCTTTAGACGGGAAACCACGCTTCATATACAGGGATTATAATTATAATCATAATAACATTTTTTTTATTTACATAACATTAATGTAATGAATAATCAGATTCGACCCTACTGCCACCCGTTATTCTAACCCCATTTTCCTTATGCTGACTGTAAAATACTCACTCTTGTCTGTTAGTGTCAGTTTCTCCTCGAAATTATGTCCGAGGTCCTTATAATCCATTGTTTCCATTCAGGCGGATCGCAGACCCTTTCCAGTTGCTGTCATTCCTCAGAGTCGCACAAGTACAGGAGATGAAACTCCCAAACACGCCCTTTGTAAAATCCAAGCCGAGCAGAAGGGAAAAGTGGCCAAAAAATTTATGGAAATAAAAGCGGATCCGGCTGGAAAAACAGCGCCGAGTCTGTGAAGTGATAAAATGTTACCGGGTGTGTTTTAAAAGCAGAGACTCGGTTCCGTCCGGAGAGCCTGTGGGTCTCTGCTGGAAAATCTACAGTGTGAGAATAAAAAGCTGTAGGTAAGTTAGACATAGGAAGGAAAGATTTCCGGTCAGGATTTTCAAAATAAAACATCCTTGATCAACGCTTTACTTCAGTGGCATTTCAGTTTTCCAAAATTAATTATTATGCGCATTAGGTGGTAGAGTAGTCATCTACCAGTTAAAGAGGGTTAGGTCTCCGGCTAATCCAGTCTGAAGGTTGAAGTATCCTTATACAATGAACCCCGATATTCCCCTTTACAGTGTGTGTGCAAACATTAGATACAGATGCAACTATCTGAAATATTTGACAAGATGCTTAGATATAGAAACAAGCACTTTTATATGTGTGTGATTGTCTGGTTAGATGAATGAGGTTTACAGTAAAATTACCTTTAAGTTAGAGAAGTAGATAAGTGCTATATAAACTGTAATGTACATGTGATGACCATGGAAGCTTGTTTCTGCCACTGAAAAAAGAAAACACGTTTTATTTTTTGGTCTAATGAGTATACATAGAACATTTTCAGAATATCTATGTACTTCTTTATAGTCAGAGTAAGAAAAACATTTGGAGGGTGTTTCTAATCTTATGTGTTGGTAGTTAGTTAGTTAGTGAGTTAGTTAGTTACAATAGATACAATAATGAAAACACAGGAAATACATTTCTTACAGCAGGTAAAAGGTTATTGGGTTTATTTACTTTTTGATTATTTAGTGCGGGGCTTCTTTTGCATATTTTTAATTTGTTTTTGTTTTTGTTTTTTTGGTTCTTACTGGGGTTTTTTGTTGTTATTTTTATGATTTAATTTCCAGCCAGGGTATTATTACAATAAGTAATGATTAATAAGGCAAATCCAGTGAGGATCTTACAACTAGTGATTAAAAAACATTTTTAAAATTCCTCTTTTTCCGATTATTGTTATTAGTGTTGTACACTTTCAATTACTTTGAAACCTACAGTTATTTTTTGAGCCCTTAAATTTTTATTTATGTTTGTAACAGACGTTTTAAAAATGTCCTAATTCGTTTAATTTATTTTTTTCAATTTAATTTAATCTCCTCTTTCGAACTCTAAAAGCTTAAAGATTGTTATTTTGAAGGCAGGATTGTGTCATTTCCTGTTATTTCCTCTTCGCATTGCTCTGGCTTAACCTCGTTGGCAGCGAAAAACCGCATGCCGGACAACTGGACTGTACCATCTACACAGCGAGTGTAAAAAATACGCCACAGAAGAGCCAATACTTCACGAAAGTCTTCTGAAGGTCAAACTTCACATTTACAATAATTTCTCTTTGGCTTTATCCGCAGACACAGGACATTAGTGTCCCCTTAACTGTCGGAGCCGCTGAATGGTTTGACCCATCAGATGACTCCTCAGCAGCTGAAAACGGCTTGCTGTGGGATGGGCTGTCATAACGACACACTGTCGGTGTAATTACAGCAATTATCATCATGTTAATTAACCATTTGTAACAGTGAAAAGCTTTATTTTCTTTAAACATCGTGATATCTTTATAAGCGTGTATTATTTAAGCATATATGTCTGCAAGAAAACAGTATCCCATAGAGATTACACTTAAAAACAGGTTTAAAAAGTACCAAAGTCATCTTAAAGTTACCAATAAACATGAATATACAAAATAATACAAACATGAAGAGCACTACATATTGCACACCCGCTGTTTCAATCATATTTCCCCTGTTCAAAAGATGACAGGGACTTATAAAAAAAAGTTTGGAAAATGTGGGGAATTTTCACTTGAACACGTCTCAGAAGAGGAACCCATCTGGCTTATGTGAGGCTAAAGATAAGCGTCATACATTTTTTAAAAAGAGGAGCTTTTTAAAAAGTCTGATTAGAAAAAGCCTTCTGCTTTTTTTGCTCATTTGGCTTAACAATTAAGATTGAGGTCATCATTATATGTCGCTTCAGGCTGCAGGACATGATGGATGGAAGTGATAGGAAATATAATACAGAGACACACAAACATCCTCCTAATGCACATCTGAGGTTCTTTTCAGAGCTGGACACATTATCCAACATGGTGACAGAGCACATACTGACGTACTAAAGGGCCAAATGTATGTGAGCATTGCCGTAGAGATAAAATATGCATGACCCACTTAGCTAGGTGAAGACACTCAGGACTCTAAACACTGATGCTGCTGATGTAGCTACAGACTCAATATCCAGGTCATTCACTCAAGTTTGTGTAGCTTTTTATGTCTGGGGGAAAGTATTTGGCTCTTTCGTGATTTCTTAGTTTTTTGCATACTTGTCATACTTACATGGTTTTTTTTAAAAACTTTTTTCCCTAAAAAACACAATTTAAAAACTGCATTTTGTATTTCGTCAGGTTACCTTGTTATATCTTGTTATCTTCTTATGTTATCAGGTTAAACTAGAAAATGTGACAAATGTGAGGACAGAAGAGGAAGATGACATAGGATGTGTAAATGATGTGCTAAGTTATCTGGTTAATGTAATGTTCTTTGGAAGTATCTTCGTTGTGTTTTTGTTTAAAGGCTGTGTGAGAATACTGGACATAAAAACATTAAAACTAAGACACTTTGAGCATTTTATATGTGGACAGCAGGTAACCGCAAACATCTGTGCAGTCTTACTATGTTTGAGAGCCTGCAGCGCACCTCGCCTATTATCAAAGTAAAGCATATTAATGAGGTGTTGTAGCTGCTCAGATTTGCTTTGATCATTGCAAACGCAACACTAACTATTACTAAAGCGCTGTGTAACTACTGCAAATGTCTGTCTTTAGTAATATCAACAGACAAACACACACGTAAAGAAAATCCTGACACTTTCATTCTGAATCCTCTATCTCAGCCCATGTTGTGGTTTCCATGATCACTGTTTGGTTTGGTCAATAATTTGGATGCATAAGCTGACGTTGCTCTTTTGCATCACTTTCCAAATTCCACTTGGATGTATGTGATAAGCTGACAACACAGGTCAGCTGATCTCACAACCTATCCAACGCAGTATGAATCAATTTTGGGAGTTGTTTTGACATGAGTCAGCTCTCCACTCCTGCACGGCTACATCAGACTTTAGTGTTTAAAGCCTGATAACAAACCTAAGGAAGAAATCCCATCAGCGTGCAGGGAGGGGCTAACTTGTCAGAGTTGGCCATCACAGAAAAGGTTTAGTTATACTCATGTTTAAGGCTCTTTTTTACCCTAGGCACTCATTCCTGCTCAGTGTTTGTACTCCATGTGTGTCACAGTAAAACCACACATAAAATATTGGCTGCAGGGTTTTGAGCATTTTTGACTGTCGCCATTTTGGCATTTTAAAACCAGATGTGTAGAGAGGGGGGGCAGGTTTGACAGCAGAAGTCATTAAACAAGGATCATACCATGAGTAATACACTTTTGTGACTCCTGGAATAACCAACATGTACATACTTTTTACAGTATGACCCAGCATAAGTGACTGAGGTTATAAGGTTGTGTGTTCATATATATATATTTTTTTAGATATACAAAGACACATATCTATATTTATATTTTGTGGCACAAGACTGAGTGAATGACCCAAACTGTCGTCCTTAAAGCCTCGCCAGTGGGACTAAAAATCTAAATAAAATGGACTAATAGGCCCGTCGTCTTCTCATGTTATGATCCTGAACAACTCTATAAATACACCATGTGCCTTTAAACATTTTACGCAGGCCCATGAAATTACAGCAAAACAAAACGTGCCTGCAATCCACTGGTGTACTGCCAAGCAGCAGACATAAGCACAACATGACACAATTAGCTGTTCACTCTGGTGCAGAAAGCAGTGCTGTACCCTGTCTCGTTGTTCCTAGAGCCAAATCTAACCTTTACCTTTAATATTTGAAGCCACTGGAGCGTTGTTCTGAATCATATTAGGTGTGCTGCGTCATAATCAGCATTTAAAATGGAGCTAAAAACACTTCTGTTTAGATGAGCCTTTTAGTGGCCTAGTTCCTGATCCTTCATTAGCATTTTATTCAATTTCTGCTTCTTCTATTGATTTTAATTCTGAGATTTCATCATTTTTAATGGTCTCCTGTTGATCTTAGTCATTATGTAATTTCATTTCTACTTCTTTTGTTGCTTTTTTAAGTTAATAACTGGTTTTCATTTGTCTGTTACTGATTTTTTGCTCATTCTGTGGTAGCTCGTGCTTTTTGGGTGAAGTGTGCTTTATATATGTGCTTGCTTTGCTAGGTAACACATCTGGTAAGTGCACTTAATGAACTAAAGAAAAGATCAGTGAGCAAATTCAAATTCAGTGTGCCTGCAGCATTGTTCTATAGCAATGCTCCTTCTCACTGAGCCTTTCTTTGGGGGAATGCATGTCCACACTCGCCTGCACCTGATGGGGAAGTGGCGAGGTTCAAAGAGAGTCCCATACACCCACAAAGGCATGTTGTTAATGACCCGTCCTGGACAACACCACAAAAGTGCTACAAATCAAGCTTCGTGCCTGCAGTTACACTTTAAGCATTTGTCTGGATACTCCCTGTGCATTTTACCCGAGTGGGAGAGAACCTTCATGTCAGCAAAAGCAGAGTTTTAAATTGCTTTTCTCTTTGTATAACCACAAGAACACAATGCTTTGGTTTTACAGGGCGAGTGCACATATTTGGAAAGCACACTGCTGAAGTCAGAGTCTGAATATAACTACAGCTGCCACAATGTGGGTGTCAAGCATGTCTGCAGTTGGTGGGGAAAAAATCTCCAACTGATTTCCTTGCGAGCAGATGACACTGAGGTCTGAAGTGGATCGCGTCTTCTGAGTGTGCAGATGGAAATAAGCATGAGGTTTCCATAACAGCTCTGAGACAAAATGTTTTTCACGTCGAAGTCAGTCAGGGGGCAGATTTGTCTCCATGAAATTAATTTTCACATTAACAGCTGCATCTGCTGAACACAAAATGCCACGTCAAAGTTTGGAAGGATGTCTCAGACTGAATGCTTTGGAAAACACAGGGCGTTAGATGAGATGAGTAATTTTATGTCAAAAATGAAGCTACATGTAGTT